GGGTTAATTTGGCCATTCGATTTTGTGTTTGTTCTTCCGCCACCTTTTGGTCGACTTGCTTCTTGTCTGCCTCGTGCTGGGTAACATAGTCCTTCAGTTCCTCCGGAGATCTGAAAGTTTGCCAAGGAGTTTGATAATTACCATTGGCCCATTTCGTCTGTTGTCCAACTTCTTTCTGTTCGTACATACTGTCATCACATTGGTGCACTAGCCGACTCGTCGTCAATCCAACATCACGTCGAGTTAATGTAGGTCCATCGTCAGCGTCAGATCCAGCAAGAGGGCCGACAAGACAAGAGAAGAGGAACAACGGATTGCTCGTGATTTACGGTACGCAACACGGGCTGCAAAGACGAACAAACAGAGGAGTGGTAAAGAAGACGACGACAAGAATCAGTTACGCAGCTCAGATTTTGATCACTCAACAACCACAATGTCTACGACGGTACAATTTCAACATCCCCTCCCTCATGTATCAACATTCTCTGTTGAATCAACCAAGGACGCCAAGGAATGGCTTTCAGTGCTCGCTTTCATGTTGACCGCTGCCGAAATCGACATGACAACTGGAGAAATATTGTGTTTTATATAGACGACAAAAGAAAAAAGTGGTGGATGGACAACGATAACAATATCCAAGATTGGCCGAGTTTCCGGCACGCCTTCAAAAAAGAATTCACTCCATCCACGATCACAACTCGAGCCACAGCAGGGTCGAACATGGCTGACCGGAAACAAGGAACAGGAAGCATTTGTCTCGTACTACAACGACAAGATGAAATTAATCAAGATCTACGATGCCGACATGGATAAGCCTAAACAACTAGAATGGTTACGAGGTGGCGTTTGTGGGGCAACCGCTAATGGCATCCTCGGCAAAACTTTCAGATCTCCGGAGGAACTGAAGGACTATGTTACCCAGCACGAGGCAGACAAGAAGCAAGTCGACCAAAAGGTGGCGGAAGAACAAACACAAAATCGAATGGCCAAATTAACCCCACAGATCGGCCAGCACCAGACTTACCTGTCACCCGCCCGACGCGATATGAGTAGACAAAATCCAGGAGCTTCGTCCTACAACCAATTCGGGTGGAACAACAGGCGCTGCTTCAATTGCGGCCAGCTCGGGCACCTAGCTCGAGACTGCTTTTCTCGCCGGTGATGATGGTATGCTGAGTACGGATGTTCGCTTGTGTTGGCTTCGAG